ACTCTTAATGAAATCCGTCCAATAACTCGTCAACCACCAAGATGAGACCTTCAGGGTAAAATGAATTACTTCATTAGGGCCATTCCAGCCTCTGAAGTAAGGGAAGGGATGATTACACAGACACGTGAATACCAAGCACCAGAGGTGACCTTGGGCTTCCCCATATCGGTGTTGGGTCTGTCTGTGTTTTGTTTTTTCTCCCTCCTGGTTGTCAGCTGGTCTTGATGGGGTCGTCGGGCAGTTCCTGCCACCTGCTGCTTATCTTCAGGATTGCCTCCACCCACCTCCAGTATTTAAGCCGGCCTGATCTACCAGTCTTCGCCAGTTCGTCAGATACTCCTGCGGTAATCTGTTTCCTGGCTGCTGGTCTTCTTAATAGTGTTTTGGTGGCGTAAAGATTAATACTGTATTACTGTCCAGGATTTAACTTTCCGCCGTTACTTCCTCAGTTTTTTCCCTGTGTCCTGGTCCTCGGCTTTGATTGCCTCGTCTCCCTGCCTCGCCAGTTCCTGTCCGGAGCTCCTGCATCCAGCCTCCCAATTTCTATCTTCATCAACCTGTTTAAATAAACTTCTGTACCGAAGAGGTCGGCTTGTGAGTCCAGTTATTCGAAAGAAACCTAACAATCGGAGGCCATTGACATGAGTGCACTGGGATGTGTCTTGGCATTCCAGTTTTTTGGCCGGGACATCTTCAATGGAAAATCAACATACGATGTAATGAAAACGGTTTGCTGTCTACTTGGTCAGCCACAAGACCACCTGCTGAAAAAACAGACCTGTATTTCACCAGGGAACACTGCTCTCCCAATTTGGTGGAGACTAAAGACACCAGAAGAGTACAAGAAGGAAAATGATAACCAGCTACAAACCATGTCGGAAATTTGGCTGACGCAGTAGAGGTATATGCAAATGCAACTGGTTTATGTCTGCCCTGCATGTGATTCAGATGAATGTCAAGAAACTTCACCGGAACCATTGCAGGAACAAAAGCATCAGACACACTGCAATGAGCCTGTACAATGCAGAGGATTGGACTTTATTATAGAACAACGTTTACGTACTTAAGTACTGAGGCAACAAAATGCAGTTTAGCATCCAATCCAAAGTGCAAAATAGCAAAAAGTGCAGAGTATGTGCATATGTAAAGTGTAATAAGTGAATAAATAGATATGTACAGTAAGAAATAGAACATTTCCCTCAGTGACTTCAAAATGTTCTATTAATTAGGTTATGGGTTTCTCCAGGTGCTCTGGTTTCTCCTTAAAAACCCTTTAGAGCATATGGCCTTGAATTCTTTTTCCTTCGCCTCTGAGCGGTTGGGCAAAATAAAAATATTTAAATTAAGTTAAAATGAAAAATAATTTATAACCAACGGAAGCCAGTATAATTACAAAGTGAACTAGAAAATGCACTTCCTGCAGAAAATGCGTTGCGATGCGGAACAATTAAAGCTAAAGGCTAAAAGCTTAATTTTTTTAATTTCTGAAAATACAGAAATAAGAAAATCTGAAATGAAATTCAAAGAAATTGCTAAAGATACAGAAATGGGGAAAGCTGAAAGGAGTTTGAAATTTCTACTAATTCCTCACAAAAGACATGGTGTTCAGAATGATTTGTGAGGCAGTACCAGTATACTATCCCAAAGAACTCGTGTTGTAAAGTCGTGAGCTGGTCCACCCTGCTTAGTATGTGTGTTATCTGAGACTATACAATTGGAAGCCGAGGAAGAAGAGCTTTGAGTAGCCTTGATGCATGACTTGTACTGTCCAGCCGGAGATAAGTACTCAAACGCAGACTCGTTGATTAAGCACAAAAAATACTTTATTTTAAACAAACAGACAAACTCAAACAAAACAGGTTTCTTAGAAGCAACAAGCACAAAGCCAGGGAAAAACTACATTAGTGAGGGCCAAAGGGAAAAACCTCTGAGATCAGAACAGAACATGACGGGTGGCAGTGACACTCAGGGGTCTAGACAGGCCAGACTTAGGCGGGAGATGCTGGCTGTGGGCATGTGGGTTCTGGAGGGAAAGGAGACGAAGCTCCTGCGGGAGGTGCAGTGCTATCAGCTAGATCTGGTGGGGCTTAACTCTACGCACAGACCTGGCTCTGGAACTGTACTCCTGGATAGGGGATGGACTCTATTTTACTCCGTAGTGGTCAGACAGTCCCGCTGGAAGACTTCAATGCACACGGGGGCGACGATGGGGATACAGTAACTGGAGAGGCGTGACTGAGAGGAACCCACCCTGATCTAAACCTAAACCTTAGTGTCGGATTGTCCATAACAAACACCATGTTTGAACATGAGCGACCGTCATGTGTAGATCTTTGCACCACTTGCACTTCCTGATTCATGATTGCTTGGATTACATATCTACGTATTTCATTGCATTCATGTTTGATTTGCTTTAGTTTTGAGTGCTGTAACAAATAACATAACAATAGAAATAAAATAAATAAATAAAAACAATTGAACGGTTTAAAGGGTGTCAGTCATCTCTGTCTTCATGGTACATTGCTCGTGCTGATTCCTGAACGTCTCGTTTTTTTGGACTGTAACATTAGTATCTCAATCATACTGGTTACACACGTTATGGCACAAAGCAAATCAGTACACACACATTACAGCTCTCGCATTCTCTGTACATAGTATATGCATGTTCATACGTTGGCTAATTATAACCAGCCAAATGTTCTAACACATAAAGGGTCTGGTTGTATAGGCTGTAGTGTTAACACACACACTAATAACCTGCTTGCACACACACACTTACACACACACACACACACACACACACACACACACACACTGTTAAGTATCCCCCGCAGCCTAAATGTCAAGTTACGTAAAAAGTTTTTTGTTTTTTCTTTAAATGAATGTCCTCACACTGCTGTGCACAAACCACCGAAGTAGGCCAATTATGTCAGAATAGTTAAGCCTTTAATAAAAATGTGTTTTTGTTTGTTTTGCATGAGATTGGCAGTTGTTTGCTGAGAGAACATTCTGTGGCCTCTTAAGAAATGTTCAATGTTTTATCTCAGTGAAACCTGGTGGCAGGTTGGCAACTGACAATAATTGTTTACATGGACCTCACAAGTGTCTATAGTGTCTATGTGTCTATGACTCCAGATTGAAAAAATACCTGGACCAACCGATAGGTGTATCTCATAACAAACCACGAATAAACAAAAACTTTCAGAACAAAAATTTGTGTTTATTGGAAGTTACACTTGAAAGATTTCTTGACCGACAGTTGTCCAACCAGATTAGTAGTTTTTTTTGTAACATTTATAGAGGGATAATCTGAGCATCCATCAGGTTACCCCTTCACTCAGAGTTCCACTGCTTTTGTTTTATCTTTCCCTTGCTCTCAGTGACTCGTAAACTGAAAACTCAACTTCCTCCACACTGTTGAAACAACATTTACTCCAAACACTTCAATTGACTTGCTGGCTTCATGTCTTAGCCTTAAATTGAAACTTCACTTGCATTTGGCCAATTTCAGCTCCTTTCAGCACGTCGCCTTCAACTGGCACTTCAATTACTTCTAGTGTTTTGACCTCAACGGATACTGCACCTTTTCCTCACACTTCCTTTTAGCATTCGGTTGTTCGGCATTTCAACTGTTTCTGATGTTACAGTGTTTCCGTACCTGTGTTCTAACTGCCACTTCAACGCTTTTATTATGTGAGTCATTCTAAATATTGAATGCGCACGGAGATTTACTTTTTTGCCTTAAGCTGCATCTCACACAATTTATTTCAACCACTTTCAATGGTTACACGCTTCACCTGAAACTTCAACTGACAACTTCATTCAGTTAATACAAGACAGCTGGCATTTGTTTCTTTCAGAACATCCACTGCAATTCATCACACTTCATGTCCACTTCATCGCCTGCTGAGCTTGAACCTCAATGATGACTCAATCTTCCTTTGAACTTCTTTCAGTTACTGTTTTTTCAAAGGCCACATCAACTTAAACCTCATTTTGTATATTTTAAATGTTTCACCTGCAAATTTCCCGCAGTAAATGTTCTACTTTTGTTGTTCTTACTACATCTTTCACAAGACCGCATATCTTCCTGTGTGTATATTTCCCATTTTACACATCCAGAGTGATTACCGATACTTCTGTCGGATAAACACTTGCGTTGTGGCCCTTTTCTCTGTCCTCATAAAATCACTCCCCTTGTAAGTGTAGATGTGGGGTTTATTGTGTAGACACAGGCTCTTGGGATCATGCTGTACATGTCAAACGTACCTTGGGAACACCAGGGCATGGTGTAATCATCAGAGAGATGTTTCGCAGAGCAAGGAAAGCCGACATGTCTGGAATACTCCCAGTCTAGAAGGTTTGACTTGTGTGAAGATCTGATTTTCGCAACACAATTAATGCAATCAATTAAATTAATACAAAGTTAAATTCATCTTTAACTTTGCTTATTGGGCATTATTGGGCCTTTTTTTTGTCAAATAAATTGCCCTCTAAATCTGATTGCAGGGAGGTCCGTAACCATAATTGCACAAAAAGTGCATGTGTATTATTCCTTCCTGCTGCTGTAAGGCGGCATAGTATCCCACAAAACACCAATCCGGTGCCATAGTCACCCTCTATATATATAATATCTCGCACTCTCCGCGCAAAACGGCTTTTCCCTCCCTCACTGAGAGCAAAACACTCGACACGACTCTTTGCTGTTGAAATGGTGGAACGAGCTCTCTGATGATGCCAGGACCGCAGAGAGCCTTCACATCTTCCGCCGCGAACTAAAGACACAACTCTTCAGACTCTACCTGGACTAAAAGACTAACAAATTGTAGCACTTAAATTGTACTTATAATTGCACTTATCTATAGCAAATTGTAAATTGGCTTATTTGAGGAAATTGCACTTTCCTGTTTGTTGCTCTTCTCAGTTTGTACCCTATGGTTGAATGCACTTATTGGAAGTCGCTTTGGATAAAAGCGTCAGCTAAATGACATGTAATGTAATATTTAATTTCACTTATTGTGTATTCTTGTTTTTTTTTACCTTGCATATTTAGAATATTTGTTTTGATGTTGTTTCTTACTTTTTTACTCTTGTTTGCACTTTGACCACACTGCTTTAAATCCTCTGCGGGATTATCTAATTTTACCTTAACATGGCATCAAAATGTAATTTGACTAGATTCCATTCACCTCCATTATTTTGGCTGGATGTAAAAACCTCAGAGACAGATATTGATAAAGCTAAAGATAAAGAGAGATAAAACAACATTCGTTATGATTAGACGGGAGAGAAAATGCTTGTGTTTTCTCTTTTGTGTGTGAACTGACCCTTTAGGACACCACCTGAAGGAAATAAACGTAACCTGAGGACTGTACGCGATTTACTTTACCGTACATCCAAGTCTCTGTTTCATCCTGTCATAATTAATGCAGGAGATCCTGCAAGAGCGATGGGGAGAGTGTGGAAAAAAAACAAAAACTATGCATGGCGTGCATGACAGGACGACATAATAAGCACAATACAAACTCACACGCACGCACACACACACACACACACACACAGCTTTCATTGTTGTGCGTTGCAGTCACTAGATACACAAGTTACCATTAGGTCCAAAAAACACCCATGAAATGTAGAAAAAAAAAAGAGAGGAAAACATGTTTAGCCGCAGGGGGACAATCCGTCCCTGAACAGAGGTGAGAAGGCACGGAGCTGCTCACACATAAACTCGTCAGTCATGCAAAATAAAGTCATGAGAAAAGGGTCTTTTTGCTCTATATTTCAACACTAACAGTCATGGGAGACAATGTGCCGAGAGGAGATGCGATGCAGCCACGGTGCGTCTGAGTCCTCTTACGTCTATCAACTTTGACGAAGATTACATTTTCATTTTGCCCCCCCTTTACTCAGTGCCTGCCCTCTTACTCACCGCAGGTCACTGAAAAACACATTACGTTCAATGCTAACTATGGTTTTTGAATTCCTGGCTCCCCCATATACTGTTAAATACATGTCTTATTAAAGAACAAGGATTTAACTGGAAGTGTAAGACTGTCAAACCACAGAGATGGAATGGGCCGGCTGCATTTTTCTCACACAATCACTCGCACCACCTGATGCAGTAATTCCTGTTATTGAACTGTTAGCGAAGCTTTCCTTTTGTGCTCCCTGTTTATGGTTGAGTAAGACCTATGAATCCGCCAAACAGGAGCTGCGACAACAAAAGGGTATCAAAAAAGTAGTATCAAATCATGTAGGAGATGACTCACCTCTAGATATTAAATAAATATGACTTTTTAGTGCTTTAAAGACAGACACTACTCATAATGACGACAACATCAAGCCATGTACTCTGCTTAGCTAGCAGGATACGGATCAGTGTTACCGCTCCAATCCACAGAAACGGATCAAAAATTTGATCAGTACTTCTGGTATCTGACAGGCACTGAATCTGATTGTAAAGAGGCTGCAGAGAATCTCTGTTTTTTGTTGCTGACCAAAAAGAGCACTTAAGCATGCAGGTGGTGTTCTTGATGAAGGGAACCTCTCTGTGCACATAGTACAGCGCTCAGCTTTATTATCTTTCAGCAGCTTCAGCAGAAAGTCACACTGTATCCTAACAAAAAGCAAGGTGTCGTTTATTGTTTGACAACACTGCAGACCTCACATTCCAAGTGACATATCAGATCACTCCTCTAGGGCTGTTTCTCTTAACAAGTGGTACTGTCCTTGCGGAGGGCAAAGGGCAGCGACGGAGCAGCTCAGCCTATAAGACCTCTAAGCATGCCCTCCCCACCTAGCTTATTGTGCAACTACAAACATTAATTATTGCTATAGTATCCATGCTGAGGTGCATTGTGAGGAGGGAGGAACAATTTCCCTGGTGTAACTCTGACTCTCTCTGCCCCTGAGTTTGTGACCTTTCGGCTGCATAAATGGTCCAACATGCACGCAAACAAGCACGTGTCTACACCAGCGACTCACACACGGGCAGGTTGTCGTGAGTCCTGGCTGTGCATGGAGCTCAAGCCCGTGTCCGAGTCGTCGTCATTGGTGTTGCAGGCCTTGGACAGACTCCTGGCCTGGTTTGCCCAGACGCTGCTCTTATCCGCGGACGCCAGCTTGGCCTCGGCACCCGCAGGGCCCGGCTCTCCACCGCCCTCGCCTTTCAGGGTGCTCAATCTCCATTGTCTCCACTTTGGCCAGAAGGTCCAGAAGTTCACTCTCTCTGGTCTCCCAGAGGGCCATGCTCAGGTCCAGGTCACCCCTGATGGCGTCCATGTCCGTCTTCAGCCATAGGCCGATGTAGAGACTGGTGTCCAGCTGCGTTTTGATCCTCTCCTCCTCCAGCGTGAACTCGTCTTCGGAAAAGCTCTCCACAGCTGGCTCCGCAGCTGGGGCGGCGGAAGTCACAGCCGCACGCATCTCCTCCGTGATTCCACCGGCGTCCTTCGCTGCGTCCGCCTCCCTCTCGCCGCGTCGCCTCTTCATCCATCGCCGGTTGAGCTCCTCTTGGATCTCTCCGGTGATGCACTCCACGAGCGCCTCGCGCTCCGTCAGCTCCTCCTGCAGCCGCACCACATCCTCGCAGCGGCGCGCGTAGTCCTGGAACTGCGCCACCGCCTCCGCCGTGGGCCGCGCGTCCTGCCGCCTACAGTCCGAGGGAGCGGGAGTCTCCGAAGAGGAGGAGAAGGACTCCACCATGTATGTGTCCTGCACATAGTTCACCCCGTGTCTCTTGATGCGGTCGAAGTGCACTTTGGCCTCGTACTGCTCGATCTCCCGGTCCAGCTCCTTGATCCTCTGGAGCTGCTGGCGGATGGTGTGGTCCTGGGAGATCACCAGGTGAACCAGCGTCTTCATCTTCTCCGCGGAGCCCTTATCTTTAGAAACAGTCTGCTCTTTTTTTTTGTTCATCTTATCCAACTTCCTGAAGGCCTTTCTGACAATGCGCCTCTGTTTCTCCTGGGACAGGTTGGCGGCCGTGGCCGCGGCGGTCCAGCAGGTCCTGGCGGTGCCCTTCAGCCCGCCGCCCGGACTGCCGCTCTCCCGGCTTTGGACCACCCGGGCCTCGGCGCCGCGTGGCCCGTTGTTGGGCAGCGAAGCCTCGTTTTTCACCAGGACGAAGCGCACTTTCTCCTGCTCGTCCCCCCAGGCGCCCCACAGCCGGAGGACTTTGGTCTTGTTGGGCAAAATCCTCTCGAAGCCCCTCCATTTCTCTACCACGCAGTAGGACTGGGGGGAGCCAGACAGCATCGCCGCCGAGGCGCCCTGCTGCAAGTTCTGGTCCTCCAGCAGGACTCTGACCACGTCGGCGCAGGTGGTGCGCTTCGTGAGCCCGGAGACAAGCTTCTCCTCCCGGCAGACCCACAAGGAGATCTTTCCCTCCTCCGACTCCATCTGCGGTTCGACTCAACGACGACTAAGAGTTTCTGATTGAGGCAAAACTCCGCGAGTCAAATTCACTCAAAACATAATCAGCTTCATACGATTATGAGAGAAACGCGCACATCCTCCGCGCTCCCGTCGCCACGCCTTGGTTCCCTCTGTGAGTGCGCTCCGTCCAAACATGACATCCGCCCATGTTCTCCCAGCGGTCTGTTACTGGTGCTGCCTGCCAGGGCATCCCCTCTCTCCCCGGGGCAGATCGTCACTAGCCTGAGCACTGCTCCGGAGCGGAGCGTCCTTGCGTCGAGACCGGCTGCTGTGTGCTGGACGAAAACACGGGAGAGTTGCTGAAGGGCTGGGACACGCCTCCGCCCCCCTCTCCCCCCGCTCTCCCTCTCTCTCTTCTTCTCCCTTTCTCCTTTCCCTGTTCACATCCCGGGGCTTCCCTGCTTTCATTCACTTTCACATCCCACTAAATAAATATCCCCGTGAAATAACAGTAAAATGCTGGCAATTGATAATGGTGATTCATGATTGATAATAATCATAATAATAATCATCTTTACGTAACACTTTTACTTAAAGTACATTTCTGAGAGCACTACCTGTAATTGAGTGTTTTTTTGTATAGTATTTAGAACGCCTCAAAAAAGTCTTAATTATTGTCTCCATTAACTATTAATCAGACTGAGGCAACAGGACCAAACAAGTCGGCATCTGAATAGCAGAATAGCTGTGAAGAGCGACGCCTCTCAGCCGAAATAATTATGACTCTAATGAAAGTGTCAGTTCGTTGTGTATTCAAATAGGATCCCACTCACAGCGTAAAACGCTTCAATCAGTCAGCACAAATACATATTTTACCCCCTCACTGTACTTTATTTAGGTAAGAGCTGCTGAGTGCTTTAGGAGTTATACTTCCTGACCTTCTCACAACCAGCTCTTCTGGAAAGCGACATCGCTGTTAAGTTTATCAAGTGTATTTTTTCATAAAGATTTTTAACTTTTAGCACCGCACCAAAAGGTTTTCTTGATTTTAGAGTTGAACTGTGCCTGTTAAACTCTATCAGAATAGCTATACATTTTTAAATATTTGCTGGGAAGATGAGTTCCAATAAAATTGTAAAAGACATGGCAATGACATCGGATCATAATATACGAGAAAAGTCATTTGACATACTAGCTTTGTTTCCTAAAAGGTTTCAAGAAGAAGCACATCTATCTTGTCTCTGCATTATTGTACAGCCTGATATACCTTTTATTTAATTTCAGTAATATGAGCTATATTTATACAAATACAATATATGTAATAATCTTGATTTTGCCTTTTTTGCCTTAATCTACAGCCGGCCAACTTGTAAAAGATAATCTACATTTCCAACTCTGTTACACATATAAATTCTTATTTTCATGGATGAAAAAAGCATTGTGAATTTCCAAACTAAATCCACGTTGGATTGTTGCACGGTGGATACAGTAGTGTCGTTTAGAGAACCGGCCACATGTTTAGACGAATTTGCCGGTGTTTCCCCACACACAGAGTAGGACTGAGGCCACAGCCGATGAATCCCACATGGAGCCCTTACTCAGCAGCATGCATTGTTGTGCAGCTTCATCTTCATAAGCCCCACGGGGCCTGGACGCCTCGGTATGACGATGCGCAGCCCGTCCGATCACAGAGCAGAAAAAATCTATTACACCCTGCAGTAGTCCAACCCCCTCCCGCCCCCCTTTGACCTTTCAACTATTTCAGGACCGAAGACGGTCGGTCGCCGATGATTTATCTGCATGAAGTGTTGGGCTGGTGTGGGCTGAGTGTTTTATCCCCAACGGCCACCATTAATCCGTCTGTGTGCTCCGAGTGACGCATCAAGCCGGGTTTGTTGATAAAAGAACTGCGTGGAAAACCATCTGGCGGGTGCGTTAGTGTGTGCGTGCACGTATCAGACATGAGCACACGGCAGCGCTCACCGTCAAACACACTGGATAAATAGGATTGTGGGGCTGCGTCTGGGATGCAAGATAACAGGAGTCTTCTTTCCTATTTGTGATTTGTTTCCCTGTGAGGTCATCCTCGACATCTGGGTTTTGATCTTTCAGGGTTTCACTTGCTTTGATGCTCCATCAAAGCAACTTCAAGCATCACTTTCACACACACACACACACACACACACACACACACACACACACACACACACACACACACACACACACACACACACACACACACACACACAGTTAACAGCACCGATCAGGGGGGGGGCAAAATCGTTTCTTTTTTGATTAGTTTCTTAGGCAAATTTCACAAATGCCCTTCTTACAAAAAAAATCTTTCACAACTTTACACTGTAGTATGGTAAAAAAAACTATATGTACACATATTAAATATTTTGAAAAACATTGAAAAATGTCGTAGTACAGTATGCCTCTTAAACTTTTTTGGGCTGTTCTTAACTTTATTTGACCTAAAAACTTATGGTATTTATATGGCTCTTTTGAGTTTTATTCGACATATTATTCAATTCATTTTTTACAAACTATGGACACTCCTCAAATTGATCTTAAAGATTCACATTCCCACAAAACCACCACAGTAATAATAAGCCAATGCAAAGATAACTAGATAAAGTGATATAAAATTAAATCTTTGTTACAGACAATTCAAATAAAAAGGTAGTTTATTCCAAGACAAGAAACCTGAGTTGAGAGTATGGAAATTGTAGTCATTGTGAACTAACGAGTTAAGACAAAATACCCACGTTACAGTTTGGAACTGACCTTTTATTTAAACTGAATAGCATATACGTACAAAGTCTCTACAAAGCTAGAAAATATCTAACATACTTTCAGCCATTAGGGGGAAAATGTTACAAAGCAAAGTTCAGACCCTGTGCAGTACCAATGGACAACCATTACTAGCTTTTAGATTTTCCTAAATGTTCTCTCTTCTTCGCAAAATAGGATAAACATTAGAATATCAAAGATATACACAACATCTGTAATAAACGGTATTGTCACCTTTATATAAAGCACCTTATCAAAAACCCTCAGTGTAGATACAGATGTGCTGCAAACGCACCAGAGCGAAAAGATTCAAGGCCATTTCGGAATGAATTACAAACAGAACCTCTATGCCACGTGTGATTCTAAAAGAAGACAAATATCCACCTTGCACGTACGAGACAACATCCACAACACGGACCACGATGACTCAGAAACTCAGATCAGAACTTTGAAGCCTCTTGAATCACCTTCAGGCAACAGGCGGTACATGCTGTGTTTCAATGTGACCTAATCAGTGTGAGCACTCCTCTAGTTGATCTAAAGAGCGGACATTTAACAGTAAAGCCTTAAAGTGGAGCTTTTGTTAGGTTCAACACACATTTGGGGTTTCTGGGGCGTTCTTGTACTGCTTTTTCAGCCTGTCAACCATGACAACAAGCTGTCTATATTTCATAAGGTGAAATTTAAAAAATGACTTTAAAACCAGAACCAGGTTTCCATTGCTTTGTAGGTTTTACTTTGTCTGGACAGTTTCACTGAGCAGCCCATGAGCTACGGATGTTTGCAGGTTGATAGTCCCTTTTTTTGGCAGAAGCTTGTGATTAACTCTACCTCGTCATAAATCTATTTCTCCTTTTGTGTCTTGTGATGACTGTCTTTGGTAAGCAGGTGATAGATAATGTCCCGACAGAGGGTCATCATGGCAACATCGGCCCTTCAAGGCTTTGTGGTGGGTTATCACGTCAGCGTCACTTGTTCGCTCGGTGCCGTGGAGGTCGAGTACTCTGCCCACAAACAACTGATCATTGCAGTGTGAGAATAATCTGGGGAAGTTGAAGACGAGGGAATTTTGTAAAGGGGATTTCCTGCCACAGGTGTTTTCGTTGGACAGGTGTCTATATCCCTGAGAGACACCCACAGGACTCTTCAAACAGTCAAAGTACGGTGATGTTGTCTCAGAGCATTTTTCAGCACAGCAGCCAGACGTGAGTCATCGATACGAGATAATACTTAACAACCTGCCAGTTCTGACTGACAATGGCTCATTTAAGGTTTGTCAAGATGGTAAAGGCCGCCCTAAACAAGAAACTAAATAATAGGGTATTTTGGACAACACATTGCATTAATATCCATAAAGATAATGTTTCAGAATATCACACACCATGTCAACCAGTATCACTTTTCTTCGTTAATGAATGCTGTTTTTTTCTGCAGCCATGTGAAGTTTAGGTTGTATTTTGTGAATGAGCAGACAGTAATCAGTCACGCATACATGTAGAAACAAAAATGAAAACACATGTAAATGCAGCCATGAACTGAAGAAGAATCAGCATCTTGACACCTAATTCTAATTCACCTTTCTATAAAGCATTCACAAACACCGGGTCATCAGCACGCCGGCGAAACTGATGAGGAATGTCTGCTGCAGTTCCCAAGCGAAGGCTCCTCGTCCTGCTGAGCGGGATGAGCACCCCCATCAGCACCACATCCTGACATAATCCCACAGAAATGAGTCCTGAATTAAAGGGAACCGTCTTCCACCAATTGCCATGGACAAACCTCAATATAAATATGGACGTAATACTATTTCAGACTACAAGAATATTGTAAGCTGATCAGAAGAATCATAGGTTTGTTTTAACAGTTTGACACAAATATTGTTGTTTTAAAGATTCACAGTGCTTCCCAATGGACTGACCACAATAGATTTAATATTTAGTTATAATCCTTCAGAGTTCCTGATATCAAGCTGTTGTTTGGGTACATTTAATAATGTGCATTTTTCCACAATAGCCATTCAAAGCATCATACTTCTTCCTTTCCCACTTGATATGATAGCTTTTGTTGTTAATGGTGGAACTTTATCTCATTGCCCAAATGTTTTAAGGTCCTATCGTGGCTGTATTTTGTTAATGCTAATGCTAACCCAGCATTCCCTACTGCTGCTGTTCACAATAAAAGCCTCAGCTTTTAAAGCTCACTGCTTTACACGCTTGCACGCTTTATTTATGCACAAAATGGTACCTGAATTGTTTGATTTTACTTATACTTTTTAACCAACATACATTTCAGATAATATTACTGTAATTAAAATATAGTCCATATGCTTTTATCAATAAACTTAAAATTTTCCAAATTTTTGAAGATATTGTTTTTTTTTCTCCTTTTTTTTTTAAAGAAACCATACAACATTTAAAAAAAATTGATTCCTTTACTTTGGGGACAAACCTCTTTTCTTATTTTCTGCATTTATGGAGCTAACACAATTCTGAGTGACTATCTGTACAAAACTCTTGTTGTTCTATATGCAGCAGTGTGACCATCTCTGGTCCACAGGGTCTGACTTTCAGTGTTCGTCAGTGTCTCGGCAGATAACACACACACCTTGTCACAGGCAACAATTGAGAGTTTTTTTGTCCCTTGGTTGACATTACCAAATACAGTACAGCAAAGTACAAATTAACTGGGACAAAAGTGGGAAAGAAAGTAAATAGTGGGATACAGGACAGGATGTCTCCAGGGTGGGAGGGTTTGTGGTAAAAAAAAAAAAAAATGGTTTGATCCCGATGTGTTTCCTGTGATTTTAACAGTTAAGGAGCATCTGCTATTTAGACTGGCGTCATGATTTATGCGTATTGGTATTCTCCAGTTGAGATTCTTCATCATGTCTGATGTTAAATAGAAACCCCCCCAAATGTTGTGGTGGTGTTTTGTGCGCAGCAGTGAAAATGCAGCCATTTTTCGGCTCAAAGACACTTAAGTAGTATTCTGTTTTTGGACATTTTACCTGCAATGTCAAAAGGCCATGTGTGTGTGTACACGTGGATGTGTGTTATTCCTTGACGAGTCGATAGATGTGGTGCTGAGCTCCGTGCTCATTGTTGGACACCTCAAACACACACGCCATACAAAGCAACGTCTCGTGAGTGTCTCTGTTGCTGACCACCTGGACACACACAGAGGAAAGACATTATTAAATAAGTTAGGTGTTGAAAAATGTCTGGTGACACTACAGATGCCACGAGAGCTCAGTGAGGGAGAAATTGTCAGGATCATGTCGTTTTCAGCCACAACATGCTACCAGGGGGCTATTGCACAAACCCAGGATAAGGGATTAAGCCAAGATTATTCAAATTATCCTGGATGAATTTAGCTTTGACTTGGC